TACCAGGAATGAGATTATTTATCAACACTCATTAAATAGAAAATATTCTATAGATTAAGTATTTTGTGACCTACAGTAGCAAAACTGTTATTATAATTAATAAAATATCTTAAGACATTCTCTATTGCCATTAATACACTCTAGCTCAACAACTCTTCTCAAATAACGAGAAAACAATATTTCGTAAATAAACAACGAAATATAAATGACAGCTACAACATTATTATAAAAAAATAGATAGTATTGATGAGTAAAAAATTGCTGAATTGAAATAGTTTTCATACGCATTGTCACATTCCATCAGACACGTAGAATTCACATAACATAATGAGAGTCAAAAAAATACATACCGATAGCTGTGACTAACTGAGAAACAACACGTATCCCACTAACCTTTTTTCCGCGAAAAACTATAGATGAACTTTAATAATGTTAACGTTACCCCTTTAAAATGAAGACAATGAACTCTTCTGTACAAGAATGTGTTTCTATTTTTTTTTTTGTACTATTTATAACGTTAGGGTCTATTGTTCTAGAACAAGGGTAAATCCAGAAAATAGCCCACAGAATTCCTGTGAATGATTACGAAACTACAAATTTCACAATCGTGATTTATGCATTATACAGAACTATTCAAGTACTAAATGTTCCGTGATAGGTGAGTTGATTCTCGAGACCTATTTTATGTCATAGTTGATTCCCGGGTCATTATTAGTAGGTATATACCGAGGTATATACGAATTGATTACCGGGTTGAGGTAGTAGTTGATTCCCTATAGTTGTATAAACTCCTCGTGCAAAGTTCGTTGAAATTAAACCAATAAAGAAATGGCAGTTAATTTATTCCCACTAAAAATAAGTATTTTTTATTAATCTACGAAGAATTCAACAATTCTAAGAACAAGATTTTTATTTTTATTGTTGCAAACAAATTTTCACTTCAAATTCATTAACATTATAACCACACTGAAGATATAATTTAATTTAATTAGGATTAAATTAAACTAATAAATTGTGTTTAATAGCATTGGTTATAAATTATAATATAGTGTATTTATAATCAATGTTAATAGTTATTTTAATAACTACCAAGTACATTTTGTTCATCACGTGATTATAAGCATTTTGACCTTTGTTATTTTTATTCAAATATGTTTTTGTAACAATATTCAATAATATTTAGTAATATTAAATATTTAAAATATTTTTACATTTTTATTGATAGATTAGTTCTGATATAATACACTCTATTTTCATTTGAATTAAATCCGTTATACAAACGATGCCCTGTACGGAATATTTACATTTTTTACTTTAATAGGTAATTTACATTATGACTTTATGAGAATAGAAATATCATATTCAAAGTTAAATTATAATTAATTTATTTGTAAAATAAAAACTTTAAAAACGTGAAACCTATGCGAAACAGAAAAAGATAGAAAGAGACTAAAATATTTTAAATATTTTCTATAAAATAGACATTACTATGAATACCGGGATGAATACTAAATTATAATAAATAAAATTACTGCCAAAGAAAAATAATATGACTAATAGCCACATACTATAAGGCATAACCTTATCAAAAGATCATAAATTTTTAGATTTGTAAAATTCAGGACACTATACGTAGCGAACATAAATCAGAAAATCGGATACATTTCTGAACAAGAAAAATCATGAAAAAAAAAGATGATGAAATAAAAATGCGTTTTGAGTCATCAATATAATTTTAATATTAATGGTATAGAATGGAGTGTTCACTGCAGATTAAATATACTGTATAACTATAACACAATATTATTGAGTTGGCATCTCCAGTAGAACCCAACCCTCGCCACCAGTCATACATAACCTTTGTTAAGTCCCACACCCGTGGTGAGGTATAGGTGGCCTATAACACAATATCAGAGATCCAAAGAAACCAGTTTTCCATTTGGACCAACAATAAATCGTTTCTTTTCAGCAGATCTATACCGGTGCGCATTTTGCCGACAGTTTTATGCAGCTGTTCTTTTTTTGGCAATAATAACAAGCGCACACGATACAACCTCCGGCAAAATCCCTCGAGAAGATAAACAAATACCTAACTCTCTTATAAACGCTACTACATTGGCTACTGCGTTACAATTTAAATGTTCAATATCACCAATGTAAAATATAAATTTTAATGCACAATATTTTGTAAAATATGAAATAATCATATATTTAATGTAAATTATTTTTTAATGATTTGGTTAATATTAATTTGTTGCGTTAAATATATTTTTACAATTTCATTTACACCTCAAAAACTATTTGTAGAGATAAGTAACTATTAATAATATTGGTACTTCATTGCCAACCAACTAGAGGGATTATAATTCTATAGATTATAAATGAATCTTAGAACAACAAAAAAATAGTAAAAATACAAAAAACTATGATTTATATAAATTTAATATGACGTGTTAAAATTTTTAATTGATGTTAAAATAATTTTCTATATTGTATATTGTACTTCTAAATTAGGGTTTCACGATCGTGAAAATAAACTCGCCCTTTAAGACGCTTTACTGCTTTAGTATTATATCCACGACGCGCGACGCCTTAAATGTGTCGTGTAACGTACAACATTGCAAATTTGAGTTTAGCAGAATCAATATTGTGTTAGCTTGAAGTTTTATAACAATTTATAGGTTAATTCATGATATTCAAAATGTTAACAACACAAAATTGATTCTGCTAAGTAGACGTTTATAAGATACATGCGGATGAGGCGTCTTCAAACTTGGTAATAAAATTAAGTGTTTAGAAATCTCTACTTCATTAATTATTTATACATTTATATAGTTAAAACATTTTTCATTTAAATAAAAATAAATACAATTAACATTACCATCCGGGATTATAACAGTAAATTAATTGTTTTAAATATGGGAATTATTTAGAAAATATTTGTTTTCTTATTGATTATCTACTGCACTACTATTTTTTATGACACTATCTTTATTCCAGTTTTCAGGTGATAAATTCATCATGTATGGCTCATTGTTAAAAGTATATTATATATTTTAACTTAAGAAAATTTTTAACGTTAGGTATTTGTATTTCGTAAAACAACTCACCGTATACACTATATAATCTCCAAAAATGTTCACGTTTATTTTCTTGGTATATTTAAATAATTTACTTTAGATTTTTCGTGTGAGAGAGGATTATAAATTATAATATAGCTATAATATACCTAACCTTTATTTTTATTAGTTCAATGCTTTGAAAAAATTATAAAATGATCAAGTTGTGCATACTATGTAAATGCAACTTAATGTCAAAGAAATACTTATATTTAAATATAAGACATATACTTAACCTTCGATTTGTCAATAAAACCTCAGTTCAGTTATTGATTAAAAATGTAGGTACTCCCGGCAACCCCCGCCAATAACTATAAGTAATAAGTAATAACCCCCCAAGACAACCATTATACATAGTAATATGATTAGGTATGTATGTTTTTCAGTAATATTATTCGTTTGTTGTTAAATTCTACCTATACCTAGTAATATTATATGTATATGTATAAATGTTATATGATAGAGCTTTTTTTATAATATTTAGGAACCAGTACCACTAAATAAAAATATTTACATTATTTTGTGCATAAAGTCATCATGTACCCACCTAACACAGCTTGGTTGGACTTTGAAATATTAGAAATTCGCAAACATTGAGATAATACTATGTTTGAAGAGGAAAAATACACAAGGAGACCCTGCAAAAATAATAATATATACATGGATAACAGTCCGATCCCTGGGGAATCATGCTCAATATGATTAGAACTATTACATAAGTATAATATATCTACGAATGAGAATAAATATCACTTTTCAAAACATCAAACAATATATGTAAGTTTTGTGGTAAAGCTGATGACCTCAACTAACAATGATATAATAACATTAAATTGAAGAACAATTTATGATGTAAAATAGTCATGTTAGACTAGGACACTAGGTAACTCGTAAAGTCGTAACCCTAAGAAATTAAATATTTGTTGGAGGTATGTAAATACGGGATTTTCTTAACACGAGTTAATAAATGTACACAGTTTGATGACGCAATCGTTTGCAATTTGTAAACTGAAATCGACTAGTCTTTGTATACATAATATTATTATTATTATAAAACACGTATTAAACGGCAAACGGTGCTGGATGACGACAATTTATTGTCGTCTGCGGCCTGCGTGCTGAGATAACAGCCAACCTACTAACATTTGAACATTTCAGTCGAGTAATCGATAGTTTATTGAATCGTTAAAAGTTGGAGGGGGGCGGGGGAGGAAAATGAATATAGGTAGATAGAGCCGATAGAGGTGTATATTCAATATTATAATTTATAATATCGATATCAGATCGAAAAGTCCAATCGGCGGCAGGCCGGTCGCGCAGACTACAACGGTAGGAAAACACGTTGAATTACTACGAGGGTAAACATATTTCTTTCAGAAGGCGATAACCGAATAATGGAATACCGCTGCAACAGACGGACGATAAGTGACGTTTTACGAATTTCGACATTCCTAGACAAACCGCATGGCTCGATTATGGTCACACTACACTTGGCCCAGCGCCGTTATCACGTGCGGCTGAATAACAATAATAGTAATTATCATTTATCTCGCGATAAAGATTCATTCAGTCACAGCGTTCTATACTCGGGAACGGGATGATAACAATATTATTAGATAGGCATGAGCCCATCGTCGAACTGAATACCGAAAGGCCAAGTCATTTCACCACGAGTAGGTGGCGTAAGACTAGCTGGTGGCGACGACTGCCGTAATAATATATTATAATAACATGTTATCACGCAACGTGATTCTTATGAATTTATTTATACACTTTAGGCTCAAAATCTTAACAGAAGTATTATTATTGACCGCTGATGATAATGATCTTTAATCTTTATATCTACAAACAACGTGATTAAAATCGTGTTTGAGTACTCACCGACACTGCCGATCGTTGACAAGTGCAGCAACAGGACCAGAACGATGACGGCGGACGTGGTGGCGGTCGCCATGGAGGCACATCGGACCGACTATCTCTTGTTCACCACCTCCAAAGCCGAAGGGACGATGACGGCGTCGGACGGACGCTGACGTCGAGACTTCTGGTACCACCAGCGTTCCGCGGACTCCTGCAGTTGTAGCAACTTCTCCACCAGCGAGTCGTCCGGACAGACACGGTCTTCACTGCATCGACGTACGCCACTCCGAATGGTCTGGGACGAGGCCGTCGTTTTGGTCGTCTTCGCTTGCCGCCACTGAACGAAACTACACTACGCGTCTGCTCCGGATCACTATATCGTGGTCGCGCCAACGAGATAAGGGTCTACAGTTAACTGGGGGATTTCACACAATGTTTTTTGACGCTCGTCGGATACGGCTGACGATGGGCAGTGAAAATGATCGGAAAAACGTAAAAATCTTGACTTTGAATTTATCTTGTTTAATTCTGTTAATATATATAAAAAAAAAAAAAAACGTGCACCGAACGGACACTACGGTGACGACCGATGCGCGCGCATTCACACACTGTCACGGCACTACGGCAATAATATTATTGTCACACGCGCGCGCACTCACTCGCGCACTCACACACAAACAAGTGCGCACGCGCACACGGCTATAAACACTGTCTCTGTGTACGAGAGCAGAGCGTGCGCGCGCACCCTACAAACCATGCAATACCCCGAATATTATTATTTATTATTAATATTATTGTTGTTGTTGTCTGAACGTTTGGCAGCGGTGAGTGGGAGGAGGGGGGCGTTCGAGAATTTCGCAAACGACCAACGACGAGCGAGAAGATAAAGAAATTGCAGGTCGAAAACGACGTGATCTAGCGGTGATTTGGATGCAATTCCGATATCGGCTTTGTTATATGGGATTTGCGACGTCTTCCCATTCCGAATTCCTATACGCGCGGGAGGGTTTCCAATAATTTCCAAATGTCAACGACGTCGATTATGTTTTTGTATCACGCTAAAACGATGCATTCACAGATCACAATTCACGAGATTTTCACAACAATAGAAAAAAAAATGCGAAAAATACGCACCTCGCAGTATATAGTACCTACTCGCGTGGCTTAAAATATTGTACTTAAATTTAAATAGTTCAATGTTATAATAGAATATATTAAATAATATGTATATACTAAAATTTATATTTCAAAACCACAGCAGCAGCTGCCTAGCTCCATTTCGATCTTATCACGATACCTTATTGTGTGATAAGATAATTCGATGGGCCATGAACTCGGCATGTTGTTTCTTGTTTATAACAATGCAATGGGTTGTGGGTACACCAAGGTCGCCATACGAATACAAACGCATGCGCACACCACTCACACTGCACTAATACCCAATATGATTAAAATGAATTATCAGGACTATCAGGTACACAAATTAATAATCACATCATAATAACGCATGGTTAAATCGTATGGACCACAGAGATAAGGTGGTACGCGACCAGCTGCCAAGGAAAATAACTTTTATTAAACTTTTATTAAGTATACTTGATCAATGTCCTACGTCCTAATTATATTATAAACAATTTGAAATCGTGATTCTACTCAATAGATGAAGCCGCAAACAATCGATACCGCTATCAATAATTATTGTTAAATAATTTTAATAAAACGAGATCGGATGCAGTTAATTCTTGAAATATTTTAAAATACAATTTAAAAAAAAAAAGCAGGCAAGTGGCACGTGTCTGCTGTACAGTAATATGTGTCGAATATGTCACTATGCATATTTTATAATTATAATATTATAATTTGTTACTATATTAAAGTAATTTATTTTACTATTAATAATCAACAGTATATATATAATTTAGATTATTAGATTACAGTATGGATTGTTTATGAAAAATGAAAAAATAATTTGAAAATGTTTGATATTTAATGAATTTTGTCAATATTTTAATTTTCAGTGCTTATGAAAAAATCATGTCTACGTGTCTTTAATATTTTTTTAACCACAATTAAAAAATTTACGATGAACTTTGTAATAGATTTTTAGACTGTTTGCCAAAACTGCAAAAGGAACATATTTTTATCAATATTTATAGACAAAAAAAATGTTAATTATTACAATTTTGTATTACAATACATGTCAATTATACGATGTTATAAAAAGTGTACATCGGTAAATAATTATGTGTGTTTAAACTATATTATAGTTCTTTATCACGGTGATCGAAGATGCGTTTTCTACAAATTTGTTACAACGGTGATGACAGGTGAAGCATATCATGTATGTTCGAGGGTTGTCGTTTATTACGCACGAAAAACGAATAATGAGAATTTGTTCATTTAAAATATTATAATATTAACTTCAATTAAGAAAATATTCTTTACAAAGCACTTTTACAAAAACAATGTGTTAATAAAGGAAAATATAACAATTATTTTTTCAATCGATCGGAAAAATTGAAGATGATTTAACCTTCCTCTGAATTTCCACCAATGAATTAACGAAGGTAAATTACATAACAAGATCCCCTGTGGCCTATATATTGTTTAAAAAATTAATATATTTCCGAAGACTTGGCCTAAAAAACATTCCAAATAATTAATCAAATCCTATTTAACATTGTAAATAGACGACGGCGCTATGTGTAGGCAATTTAAGGCCATCATTAGTTTATCGTTTAAATTTTAAATAATATTTAAAAAATGTGTGGAAAGTGTCACGGTATTTTTTCTCAGAACAAGTATTGTCATTAGTGCCAAATTACCTTTGGATAATTTTATTCTATGATCTATCTATTTGTGTAATCGCTTTTCAATAACATGACGACAAAATAGATTGTCCTAAATACATACGATTTGGTTTGAGAGGAGGTAGGCGCCTACACTGACACATCTCCGTTTCGTCTTTCTCTATATATTCTCCGACAGGTGATATATTGTTATGCTGATATTTAACCTAACCTTCGTCAAATTTCAACCGATGATTAGTTTTTGGCTATATTTAGAATGTAATCAATTATAAATATTATACTAATGTCAAGTCGAAAGTGGAGAATTATTTATTTATTATAACATGTCAGACTTTTTTGATGTTATATTTTTAAAACAAAATATTTTATAATAAATAATATGTATAATACCTACGCGTCATACACATATAATATAATAACTCTATTAAAAGATGTCAAATGTGATTAGCTAAGCTTAGATGTAAGTTTCCAGCCCATCTTAAAGTTTAAATTAATTTATTTCCATATTTATGGTTTTAAAATAACCTAACTGATCTAAGCGTAATTGCTATGTAAAATTTTGAAGCAAAATCGTTAAGTATTGAAGATATTCTAGATAATTTTGCACAACAATAGAATGTTAAAAATAAATTAAATGTATTATATTATTATAAAAAAATATCCCAATTTTAATAAACTATTATTAGAATGACAAAGTAATATCATTATTATAATTCCAATTAAATTAATGCGTTTCATTTTTATCTTATAAGTATTGCATTTATTGTTTTAATAAAAATACTTGCCGTGTTAGTCTGTTGTTATTTTTAATTAGTATTACAAAATATATTTATTGTAAATTAAACATTTTTTAAGGTTTACATTACTTTATAGTTATTATATATTTTATATCAATATTAATTGCATGCTTATTTTTTGGTGTAATTTTAGAGGATGTAATAAATATAAATTAAAAATGTGTTGGCCTCAACCTGACCCACATGGTGCAAAAATTATTGCGTTTATACTGTTTGCGTATAATTTAAGTGCTTTTAAAATTTTAAATCTGGGGCTATGCCAAAAAATTTAATTCTAAAAAAATCGAACTACCTACCTAGGAACAACAAAATATTTTGGCTAATCACAAGCACTCCTTTTTACGGTAATACTTTCAACAGTCTATCTTTGTGTCGTACTGTTATATGTTGACGGCTAAAGGTTAGAATGAAGACTGACTTAAGTCTTGAAAACTGCACCTTTGTATATACTTTTTTTATGGGAAACCCTGGTGCCGGTTGGCCGGGTTTATCATGAGTAACGAGGGAATGTCGTACCCACTCGCACCTTAGCTATAGTGCGAGTCATTGTTATTTATTTTATCATTTATTGTTATTGTTACTTACTAGGTGCGTTTTCCCCTCATTAGCTTCTTGAAACTTATTTCTTTACAAACCACCTTTGCTAGTCAACTTTCTCTGACAACAATTTGTGATTATATTGTCAACGTGTTGTTTCGTACGCAGTGTTGATCTTTAGAAAATCCTTTATAGGCGATTCTGTGCTGTTACAATTCACATATCACATAATATGGATGTACAATTACAATTCCTGGTAACATTTTCAGTTCGTAATCTCGCTGAAATTGATATTTTTCAACTGGTAGTGTTTTCCAAAATAACATGTTAATCTTTAGTATATAAAAATCGCAGCTTGCATACCTACCTCTAATTGAAGTGAAACATCTTCATTTTTCAATTTCAACTGCCATAAGATTATTAAGTTAAAAGTTAAATACATTCATTTGATGACGTATCAGTTTACCTTATTCAAATTGTTTTTTAACTCTACAGTTAATTTATCTAAGTGGGTAATGCAGTGTTCAAAATTAAACACTTTGTCAAGTGCTCAAGTCTCAAGTTCAATGTTTATAACTTCACAACACAGATAATGCATAATTTTCTTTTCAACAAATACATTTTTAAGCACTTCCAATTTTTTTACTGAATCCATCTAAAAATCCAATAACTTGAGAAGTGAATGTAGTACGAGCTAGATAAAAAAAAAATGCGGTAAATGGATGACACCCACTGGCGGCCAACCAGTTTGCCAATATCTATAGAATATAAACCAATGAAAATTGTTTTCATTCATAATAATTTGTATGTTATAAAAATAGAATATATAATTTTCCAAGTATTATATTATGACAGATTTATCTATGAAAATAATTTATTGCTTTAAGTATCTAAATCAATGTAAAAATTATAATAAGTTTTGAGTATTAATACATCTATGAAAATTTCAATATTCGAGAATAAAATTTTTCCAATTCAAACAAGAGCATGGCAAAACACCCTTGAATGTGTTTCAGTAATTTTCAAAGAAAGTGGCAAATTGCAATTTAAAATAAAATAACGATTAAATATACAAAATAAATTAATTCCTTTACAACATTGAAGGTCTTGTCTTAAGCAGTACTGGATAAACGAACCAGAGCAGAAGAAGTTATTAAAATAAATATCGATAAATTGCAAATACGATGAAAGGATATTTTACTTGTCTTTAACTTGACAGTAAAATTTTTTAAACAGCTATTTAAACAATTAACTCGCAACATTAAAAAAAAAAACACATTTCATTGAAAATCAATAGATTAAATCAACAACATTTTATATTTAGTTAAAAATTTAGAAAAAAACCATTAATGTTTCATTTTAGTCATCTTTGAGCTCTCCATTGAGTTATTTAAACAAGAAAAACAAGTTACTTTGTTTATAAATTTTTAAGTCTCTTAGAGTTAGCTATTGAATACTTGAACATTTTCAAAAATGGATTACTGTGAAAATTAAATATAAGATTTAAGAAAAATAAATAATTTATAAAAATTTTTTCTAGAAATAATTAAAAGAAAATAGTTAGAGTAAAATAATGTTTAAATTTAATTTTAATTTTTGAATAGTAGTTATCTACTCAATAAATGTTTTTAAATAGTTTAATAAATGATATTCATTATAATTGTACCATACACAAAATACAATTTAAGGAAAATATAAATGATAATATATATTATAAAAAGTATTTAAATATTTAAAAATATAATGAAAAATAATATAAAAACAATACATAATCTTAAATAAATTATATATCATTCTTGCAGATACATTAAAACTATTTAAACAAAAATATTATTCTTAAACAGAAAATACATATTCTAACAAGCTTATTAAAAAAAAAAAAAAAAAAAAAAAAAATATACACATAATAAGTAAATATAGGATTGACAGAACATTATATCATAAAGTATGTTTGATATTGTCAACTTATCAAAATAGATGAATGTTAAAATTACAAACATAATTATTGAATCTATAATATTTTTTTTACATATATCAATACTAATAACAAAACTATTTTTATAATTATAACAATTATCACATGTTAAATTTATTATTATTATTTTAACTAATACCAGAAAACAAATCATTAAAATAATTTTAAGTATAATATATGAAAATAATTGTTAATGGAGTAAGAATAAAATTTGAAGCTGAGCAGTCTGTTTTTTCATTTTTTGTCTAAGTTATTTAAATTGTTTATATTTATTACCAAAAATAATTTATATGATTAAAAAACTTAGCAATAAATCAAAAATCTATGAAAACAATATTTTAACTATGAAAAATAAATCATATTTTGTTACTATTTAAAAGCGATGTGTGATTGATAAAGTCAATAAAAAGAAAATCAAACTTTATTWGGCTTTTTGTTGATAAGCTATTTAAACAATATGGTTTTGCACATTTGTTCTACTTGGTTCAGTGTTGTTCATCAGTTCTGGAGCCAAATTAATTTCTGAATCTGGCATAAAAATATAAATATCAAGTATAAAATATTAAAATATAACCACATTGTTTTTTTCTCTTACTTGACAAAGATGATGAAACCGCTTGGCGGGCGGCTGGTGGTGGATCATACAGATTTTGATAATCTGATAACATTGAGTCTGATGAATCTGTTTGAGATGAAACTGTATCATAGTCTGCATTTGCTACATTGATTGATGATAAGACTGGAGCATGCACTTCAACAGTGTTAGCAGATCTACCGCGTGTAAATATACGTCCCTGTAAAAACAAAAATTGTTGAACATTGTTTATCAACATAAAAATGATTGTTACTTACTCGGAAACTACGGAATGTACCAACACCTAATGAATTTGAATTATTAATACCAGGCGAAACTAATGGAGTCCTGTCATTGGGTTGTTCATCACTATCAGTGTCTGAAGAATATGCCACAGCATGTAGATCTTCATTATTCCCATATACTCGACGTTTACAGATAGGACAAAATCTTCGGTTACGTGTCAACCATGGATCAATACATTTACAGTGATAAGCTATGAACATTTAATGAAACAATTTTTTTATCAAACATAAAATATAAGAATTAATACTTACCATGAGCACATGGCAAAATTCTGAGTTTGTCTCCATCCATATAATCATCTAAACATATGGCACAAGTATCATATGGATCACCTTTCACAAACGTTGAGATCGGAATTTTACGTAGAATAGATGCAGGTAAACGATGTCTAAATGCTCGTCTACGATCTTTAATCCATTTAACTAACTGTAAATTATTCATAATTTGAATATCAAAAATAGCCAATAAAGCAATACATTTTGTTCTCAAACTATTTATAAAAATGTAATGAAATAAACTGTTATTGAAAATTTTATGAAATTTTACTGATAAAATTGTAAATTATTGTAAGTAAACAACTAAAATTTAATATTAGAATTAACTGCCAAAATAATTAATCAAAATTAAATATCTTATTATTTTAAAAATAAAATATGTGTATATAATTATCAGATGTTTTTTTATTGATATAGCTGCAATATTTTATGAGTATTTTGATAAGTGAGTAGTACACCGCAGTGAACACAACATCAAAGACTTTAAAATGCCCTGGTCAAAATATTCAMAAGATCCCATTTAAATCAAATCGTTTTGAAAATTTAATACAAATTAAATTTGACAATAGTTTAAAAATTATTTTATTATTGTTAAATTTTAATGTATTTCAACTTGAAATTTAAAAAACTAAAGTTTGGTTCGATTTAAAAAATCCGAGTTCGACCCATCACTAATTTCAAGATAATGTGTCTATGGGTCTCACTGAATAAGCTTGTCTATTTGTTTTTACTATTTGACTATATTAATAATTATACTTTTTATGATAATCTAGTTAATATTTATCCATTAAGGAAAGAACTTATAAATATATATTACCATAAACCCAAGCATTGCGAAGAAACATACCGCAACAATCACAGCAAATGGCAACAATAAATTCAAGTTTATATCAAATGGGGATTGACTGTTGTCTACAATCACATAAAAGCTAAAAAAAATATATAAATAATATATGTATTATTTAAGAAAAATTAAATCATGCCATATTTTATTAAATATTAATAATGAAAAACATATACTTTCATAGTTTCAAATTATTATATTTTGGCCTGCCGAAAAAATCAAACTTTCAATTTTCAAGAGCCATTTAGTTTTAATACTTAGATATTAAACAATTACAACAAATTGTTTTACAAATGATAACTCTCATAAGTATAAATGGTAATTACATGTGACAATTGAATACAGATAGAGTTATCCTTTAGTTTTAAAATAATATAAAAGTTTGATTTCTAAATAATGACTACTGTACATACAAATTAAATTGAAAGAATCATTATAAATATAATTATTTTATTTTTAGCATGGGTATCATCATTATAAAAATAGGATTTTTCTATTTTTTTTTAGTGACAACCTAAAAATACTTATGTTAATACATTAAAATAAATAACTCTGTGCCCTTTAATATTTTATAATATAATATAAGCTACAGATATCTTTTATTGCAACATAAGAAAAGAAGTTTTTATAGCAATTATTGAATAATGTAAAATTTTGATAATTATCATAAGCTGTATATTTAATACAAAGTTTAATTTTTTAGGTTTTGATAGACAATCTATATCTTATGTTTTAATAGCATTAAAATATTACTGATTAAAATTAAAAAAGCCTTTTTAAACCTGCAATGGTCAGAACAAAATTATAAAGTACCAAGGACCAGGAACAATTTTACATTTTTTAAACAAATTTAAAAAGAAATGTGACTTTGATGTAGCCACTGATGTTTATAAAACTACTGTCAAACATTAGAAGTCATATAGAACTTTAAAAAATGCACACCTATGATGATATTACATGATCAAATTTTGGTTAAAATTCCCAAAAATACTCTTAAATTCCTTTTATCAACAAAAAAGTAGAATCAGAAACTTAATTTTATGAAATTGAATTAATTTAAAAATAAAACCTTATTCACTAAAATATCATAATTATTACCCGTTGTTATAATCATAGTAGTCTCTCAACATAAGCCCAGTGCTATCACCAACAAAAACTGATGGAATCACTATATCACTAGTATTTTTACCATTCATTGGCACTAGTATACAAAAAAGTAAAAATTGATTAGTAATCAAATTAAATGTAGTATTTAGTATTTAGACAACTTGAAATTTTTTTAATATACTTTCTTAAAGTCTATTAAGATGGATAAACAACATTTTTTTTTAATTTGTCATGTAATTTAATTTAACTTAATAACTTAATAAAAATAGTCGACTCTCTATAAATCAAAACTTTTGGTAATTCAAAGTAATTCCCTTTAAAATCTCACAGTAGTTTGTATAAAAACAATACATTTAGGTACTCTCAGTTATTCATAGTAATTTTAGAGAAAACTAACTGTCAACACTCAGCAATTCAAAGTGTATTCATAAAAATGTATTCCTTATAAATTATAATCTTATCGTAAATAATTCATTTTAAAATTGCGTATAAATATCAAATCTAGATTATTAATTCTGATGACTATCGAATTATTGTCATAGGTACAATTTTTTTTTCATAACACAGTAAATCAAAATTTTTAATAAATCCTATCAACTTCAAAGTATCGAGAGTCGACTGTATCACCATTATTAGTGTTATAAGATTATGTATTGTTTACAATGTTTACATACCAATCAAACTAGAGTTGACATTGAATATAATGGCTAATGTGTAGTTGCTATTTTGAGCGTTCCTCACTTTTACGTCAAAATTACAATTTCCTCTCCTAATTAAGGCAAACCAACTCCCACTTTGGGGCGGAGACTCAATTTTAGAACAACCATCTTCAGGGTTAGCAGCCAAAATGTAACCCTAAAATAATATAAAAATTAAAATAAATATGCATTTAGATTTTGAGTTCATCTATAAATAATTGAAATACTTTAATGCCATCTGAAGGTATATCCGCTCCAAAAAGGGATGGCGCATCAGAAAACTCTAAATCTAGCTGTTGTTGTTTTCTGTTATATATGTTGATTTCACATTTTATTGTAGACACAAAGGCTATTAAGGCAATAAATGCCATTTCCTTTTTAAACATTTTTGATAAAAATTGTACAACATCTGATACGCAACTAAAACAATTAAAAATAAAATAAAGACTTGCATTTTACCAAATATACAGGATTAATTATTATGAACTATTACTTTTTAATATTAAATGAAAGAGCAAATAAGTTATCATTAAATCACAATTTTTGGAGGATTAAGTAAAGAATTAAAATACACAATGTGTCCCTGGAGAATTGTATATGTATACACATTTATAAACGTTATTGTTAGTGGCCAACTGGACATGGAATCTCTTGTGGTTAAATTGGAGAAGTTTATTGAATATTTAAACTTTCAAATTTTTGTGTAATGATGCATTTATGATAGACTAAAACACTGCAATAATCGGATATAGACAGATAAATTGGAGTTTTTAAATTTATGTAAAGGATTGATGCTTAGGTTTTACCCCATTTTTTTAAATTTTGAAGACATAATTTACCTTATAATTGTATTTTATTATAAATTGATATGTTTTTAAGGTTTATTTCGGATTTTAAAAATGATCATAGTACTGCAGAAGGAATAGTCAAATTTGTTGAATTATTTTTCAATCTGTCTTGTATGTTCTGAACCCATTAGTCTTTTGTCTAATATTATTCCCATGTATTGAGTAATTTTTTGAATACGGATTGGTTTATCATACTAGATTTTTGGATAGATAGGAATATTCAAAATATGTTTATAATAATTTATTTTAGGATTTGTATGTTGGTATTCTGGTCTTGTCTTGTCATAGTGACTAGCCGGTAACTTAACTTCACAAGCTGTACCAATACTTAATTGTAGAGATGTTACGAACCATAATATTTAAGGTCGAACCGAACCAAACTCTTCAAATATTTTATCGAACTCAAACCGAACATTAAAAGTTAAATTGGATATTATTTTATTTAATATTTATTTATTTATCATTTAGCCACCATACCACAGAATTATTGAATAAAGATTTTACAACTAATTACTTAAATACTTTAAATACTTTAATAGTTAATAATATTATTATGCATGAGATTTTTAATTTTTAATTATTAATATGATGATAATACTGATAAGAATAAGAAAAAGCAAAAAACATCAATATTTAAAACAAGTAAACATTAAACAACTAATATTAATCTATTAATTATTAATTATTTTATAATAATTTATAATTTTAGCCGTTACTCCGACTTTTATTTTTATTTCTCTGGTTCGAATATCGAACGGAACTATTAGATATTTGGTTCGGTTCGATTATTTGGAATTTCCAGTTCGGTTTTCAAACTGAACCGAACACCCAGAGTTTGGTTCGGTTTGGTTCAAAAATCGAACAGTTCGTAACATCTTTACTTAATTGTAAATTTTTTCTCATAAGGTTGCAGTATTATTCTTAGTTCTGTTAGACATAATGACATATTCTTTATTAAAACATTCTGATTTTTTCAATGTTCAGTTGTTCTTTAGTAAACTAATAAGTAATAACTTAAATGTTTTTATGTTTAGTTTTAATTTTAAGTTAACTACTCTTTGGTCATTATTTGCCATTTTGTCATCTTTTTCATCCCCAGATTCCTCTCTTTATTATTGTGGCAAGGTGTTATAACTGTAAATATATTGTTTGTTTTTTTTGTGTGTACTTTTAAACAATAAAATTTTGAATATTTACAGCAGTCTATAATATTTTGATCAAATCGGATCGGTACAATAAGTATAAGTATCAATTGTATTACTTTAATTTACTCTAAGTTAATATATTATTTAATTATGCTGAGTAAATAAATTAAATTAAAGCTGCTTTACTTTAAATATGTACACATAGTATCCCAACCACTTAATAATTAGTACTGATGTACCGGACATGTTAGAATTTAATTCATCTAATCTAAATAATTAATTTAAAATTATCCAATATTATACACAACAATTGTAGCATTGATTAGAATAATAGCCTATACCACAGGTTTCCAACCTACGACCTGCGAGTAGGTTTTTCTAACAAGCTTTTCAAAATGGCTTCTGCCAAGCTAATTGATGGTTTTAAAATTAAATAATTACTAAAAACAATCTTATATATTTTAAATTTGATTAAGTCTCAATCGCTATAAAAAAATTTAGCTCGACGTAAAAAAAGGTTGGAGACCCCTGGATTATATTGTTAGTGTTATATTCTTATATTATATTCTATACTTTAATATGTTATCTTATCAGCTAATCATATTTTTTTAAAGTGTAGTAAAATGTTAATATTTACATACTAAGAAAAAGTAAGTTCACTAAACCACATTGAGCAAAATTACTGGATTCTAACATTGATGGTGTACTCGATTTAAGTCATTAATATGTAATCATTTTTTTTTCTTATTCAAGTTAAAATATTTCTATTATTATTTAAAGCTTCAATGATTGGCAATAATGTGTAGGAAAAATATATTATTCAATATTAATTGTCAATGTGACATTATTGCGCTAACATTGCATAGGCCAATAAATTTAAATTAGACAATATCATATAAATGTATTCAGAAACCATTTATTTACTTATTTTCTGGCAAATTGTTACAGCAATTCTAGGCATACAATTTGTAACTGGCAGTTGAAATAAATCTGACCTTCTACGGAAATCATGATCTGCGAAAAAAAAAAATGTTGTAAATAATCGACAAAGATGTCAGTAGTGGCGAGCATAACTGGGACCAGTATTTCTGTCACCGATGACAATTGTGACAACTAACTCTTAGCAGTAATAATAACAACAACAAAGTTTGACATTTTTACAAGATGTCATCGAATGTGGACAATAGCTCTCGTAGCTACAAGAATATCACGGTCTGCAGCTACACACACCACCAGCTGAATGCAGAGCTAGTATTGTCCAAACACGTTACAATAGTCGTGCACGAATATTTTGCCGAAAAAATCATTGATCGTGATATTATAGGTATTGTAGGTGTACAAGAAACTGACCTTGACTTGCAGTTCGAATCACTGAAACCAGCGCTCGACAACGGGCGCTCGTACTGAAAACTTAAGTCGGTGCGACGTGTGTGATGTCAATATTTTGGACGGCCAAAGAGGAAAATCGTACGTGCTATCGCAGTGCTGCGGTATGACGCTAACATCTACGGTATACATACAATACACTATAAAGTCTACACGGAACAAAAACAACGGACAGAGGCGATAACAACTACTAGGATGGACGGCCCCCCACCGGGCGAGAGGAGACAATAAACGTTGAAACGCAAATCGAAGAAAACAACAGGACGACTAGGACGAGCAACTTGCTGCGGTTGTCGATCACGCGAATAATAATAATTATAATTAATAAAAATATATGTTGTATATTATTATTATTGAAATGATTATCAGATAATACAAGTAATAATAATAATAATAATAATAATAATACAATATATAAGTAAATAGGCGACGTTCACGACTGACCGAGTTGTCTGTTATCACATCGTCGAGCCGTAGTGCGCAGCCGTGGCTGCAGTCAATGTTATTGCCTGATGGTACCTACCATTTTCTTTAATCATTATTTGATTCTGCCTTGTGCACCGCATCTGGCCATCTGGGCATACTTAATATCTATGCGTGTATGCGTCTGGGTCTCCGGGAGCCTAATCATAAACCTAAATGCCTTTTATAATATTTTGTTCCGTTTCTATGATTTTATCAGCATATTAGACTCCATTGTCTGGCGTGGTTAAGTGGGTTGCACGTAATGTGCATAGACGATGGACGTAATATTTATTGTAAAAAAAATGACTTTGGACCGCGCAAAGACAGAGTAATCAAAATATGTCGATGTCGAATATTATATAAAATATATTGTCGAGCAATTATTATTGTTATTATTACAAATTGGACAGAGCTATCCGATGTAAATCTTGGAAGAAGCAATGGTTCTATTCCATGACAAATATGTTATCATATGTTGACAACCGGCGTTTTAAAAATATAAAACTCAACATTTACTGCACTGATATTTCTTTGATCTTCAACTTTAAAGCGTGAACTTTAATTGGAAACTTTCATATCACTTTAATACTCTTCATCAGTAATCAAAGTTTTTTTAGCCATGTTTATACAAAATCATGGTGCAATATTGCAATGTAAAAGGCTGTAGCACTGTAACATCAGGACAGCTGGGAATTGAGATGCACAAAAATGTTCAAGTGTTTTTTAATGAATTATAATTATATGTAAAACATAAAATATTAATAGTTTATTATTACAAAACTTTTTTGAAAAATGTTGTATTACATTTTCAAGTATTTTGATCGAACGAAATATTTTGAGAACAATAATGTAAAATAATTTAAAAAGTTTGTATGTCTATTAATACCTCAAAGGCTGAAAATGGTCGCAATATTGCGAAAATTGTATGACACATAGAAATCGCAAAATTTTCTACAGTTGGCACATTTAGTGAAAATTTCATTAATATACGGTAATTTTTTTAGAGTTATACAAAAAAACAAAACTGATTTTTTTTTTAATCGACTTTACGTAAAAGTTTTAGTTTTTCTTTAATATTTTGTTTATTCTTCCACCGGTTTTGAAAATAATMGGACATTTTAGATTCTGAACGAAGTGTACAGCATAACTAGTCGAAATAATGCTTCGATTTAAAACTTTGGGGGTGGTTTCCGATGTAAAAGTGAATATCCTTTGTGCAACATAGAGGTCAAAAGCAAACATTTTCCAACAGTTTCAAAAAAATCGAGAAAAACAAAAAAAAAAAAATGACAGAAAAACGGGAATTTTTACGCAAGGTCAGTTTTCGACCAAATCGATTTTTTTATATGGTTGTAATTCAAAAACTAATCTCTGCAAATACTTGAAATTTTCACCAAATGTTTATGTTAGTGTTATATATATACAGTTTAATTTTCAAAAATTTTTGACTTTTTTTAGTTATTTATAGACCACTGAAATTTTCAATTTTTTTGAAGTGTCGGTAAAACAATGTTGGACGACCAAAACTTATGAGTTGTTCTTATTGTAGCTAAAAATACAACACTAAGTTTTCCATAAGTTTTCCTTCAAGTAGCTATAGATAAAACTCGAAGCATCATTATAGGAAAAATTTTAAGTGCGTTTGAATTTTAAATTTTTA